CCTCCCTCTCACTAAGTATCGCCTTTGCCGTCTTAGAGAATCCCGATAACTGACCCTTGACAGTAGTCAAGTGGGTGTATAGAGGCATTCCCATGCTGCTTCCTCTGACCGGTTTAAAAACTAGCGTCCGGTAGGACTGGTCAGCATTTATTTTCTGAGTCGTCGCTTTGGTGATTAGCCAGTCTAATGATTCGAAATTAGCCTGTGTCTTGAGGCTAAAAACGACCAAAAGACAAGTCCAAGAAGGCTTTAATAAAAAAATGGCAAATATAATCTTTATACATACCCAGAATGTTCTGTAAGATGTGATTTTTGAAAAAGGCCTGACTTGGTAGTAGTGCTAGGTCCTGAAACTCACACCTTATAATGTTATCAAGATTAATCAAGGAGGAGGTGAAAAAAGGAGAAAGAATAGCATAAAAAGCCATACCAGTAGCTCTAATACCTTTTGCGTGTCGAAAATATATAGTTTGTCTTAGTGCCATGCCTTCCTTCATCTTCAGGGTAGACTCAGGAAACTACACTGCCTTCGCTATCCGGTATGGCTTTGGCCTGTGCTAGCAAAGTCCAGCTATTCCTTATATCACTTTTGCATATCCTTAACAATATTTGGACTTTTTCGTCGCTCAAAAGGACCTGGATTTCAACATAATAATGTGTCACCGTGACAGTGGTGGCTCGTCTCCCTGCGACACTTGTAGCAACACGTTCTATTTCAATGAAGGCTTTGAGAAATTCCCACTGATTAAGAGTTTACAAATAGAGCTTTAGTCTGCTAAAAACGGCTCGGTTGCAAATGTGGACGAAATGTGTAAATATTTTTTAGTAACAGAATGTGAATTAGTTGATGTTATTTTTGTCTGTAGCGGCTTACATTCTTTGCAAAGAACTACCCGACTTGCCAGTGGGCCACAACTTCAGAGAAAACCTTAAAGTGTTATTTTATCTCGGATAATTGATTTGCGTCGTTTAAAGCAAGATATTTTTGTGTGATTATTGCCATTCCTAACTTTGTCATCCGCCAAATGATGCTGTAAAATTCAATAAACATGTTGCCCAAACAAATTTTTTAAATAAGAAGTATTTATGCCTCTATCTTAAGGTTTGTTTATTGTTGTGTGCCTTTTTTAAACGACTCAAAGTGGCACTTCTCCCCAAATCACCTTGAAAATGGGAGCGCGCAATTTGGGCGGGTGGAGGTCTATGGATATAGTACAGTTGTGCGCCTGTGTAGGCTTTCCCTACATTGGTGGTATCATAGGCTCCTCAATGATCGTAAAGAACTTGGAGTGGTACAAGAATTTGAAGAAACCGAAATTCACTCCCCCACCTTGGTTTTTTGGTCCAGCATGGGGCATTCTCTACGGCTGTATGGGGCTCGCCTCTTTCATTCTTCTGCAGGAAGCTAAGCCTGGTGCCAACATTACACTTCCGCTCGTCCTCTATTCCACTCATTTGTTACTCAACTGGTCATGGCCGTACGTTTTCTTCGGGTTGCGCAAATTGAAGATTGTAAGTCCCTAAAATGGATTACATCTTTTATTTTTAACCAGGTTCTTTAATTACGTACTTTGTTAATTTCAGTCAGTGGGAGTGATAATTGCCACCACAATTTGTGCGACACAATCTGCTATTCTATTCTCTGGGATAAGTACTGCTGCTGGCTGTATGATGATCCCCTACGTGTTGTACTTGATATTTGCCTCCTACCTCAACATCGGTACCGCGATTCTTAACCAGAGGAGCCCCAAATCCATTTGATCACTGCTATTCTTCTAGTCTTTTTTTTCGATCTGATTGATTATTATCGAATTTCCATTCTTGCTTTTTGCATATTTTTGGGTGGGTCCTCTTCCCTAGAAGTTCCTTTCCTGGACTTATCAGTCACAGTAGAGAGCAGGTTTCTTAATGAGTTCTGTCCTTTATTATTTTTGTATTCTGATAACCTATTTTTCTTACAAACCATGCTTTTCATTGATCTACTCAAATGCTGTTTAAAAGTTGAAGCTCCTTCATCGTTATAAAGCGAACTGGACCGTTGGCATCACGGGATTCGGTACAGCTCTGTCACACACGCGTGATGCTAGGGTACCTGAAAACATCTGAGAGGTGAGGAACATACTATCGTCATCTTGATAGCATTTTTTCAGGTCACATCAATGTTACAGCCTGTGCTGCATCTTAACAAGCATTTTGTGAGTAAACGTGTTGGTGACAATCTTAGCGTCGTACCAAGCACAGAGGGTCAAGGAGCTGAACCCAGATGAGGAGCGTGGTCACATTATCTTGCGAACACAGCGATCATGCTTTTCTAGATTCCACAGGGACGGCCTTATAGGGTTTTATAACTGCCTCCAGTGTTTGGCTGTTGATTGTCACGACATTTTGAGGGCGTGTTGGCACACAAAGGATTCCAAGGCCAGAATTCAGACACGGTAGATCAAAAACGCCAGCAAATTCTATCCATACTTCACCCCTGGCGCTCCAAAGTTTTCCCTTTCAGTGTTGAGATGAGTTGGTGGTACAGACGAACCTAATGTCACGGGGAAGGCTCAGGGCAATACACAATTCCACTGTCCAATCTACCTCCCACAGTGAGTGGATACCACGCTTTGAAGCGAACTTCCCTTGAACCAGTTGGCTAAGAAATGGTCACCATCCGTGAGGACAGATACCCGCATCACGTGGCGCCCTCGCGATGTACCTTTAAGAGGCAGGCTATAAAAGTACAGAAAAGCGATGTTGTTTTTGTCCTCTACGTGGCTACCGTAATAGTCACACCTTTCTTCTTCTTCTTCTAGAAGAGGGTGAATTGCTTATAACCACACAATTTATCAGCACGTATGTGTGTGGGTGTCCACAAAGGCATCAGGACACAGGAGATCAAATGGAAAAAAATAAATAACCTTGGGCATGAAATCAGCCAGTCAGAACCTCAGAGAAAAGTTGACCACCACACAGTCCACAAGAGATAAAAAAGAGGAGTAGTGTAGTGTTTGGGCTTCTCTCGATCATGCTGACCTCACTTGAATGGGCGCGTGATCCGTTGCGGTCGCCTTGGGGGCTGAAAAATCTAACCCACTGACCTACGACTCGTAGCCAATCACCGCATGTGAGTGGCCTGGCATATTGCTGTCGATCTACTTCACGTCCATTCTTTGTTTAAGTGTGAAAGAAGTGGACACGTAGGCTTGCGTGCCGCTCCTTCTTCACGAACCACTAAATTCAAATAACCCGACTTCCATTATTAAGGTCAAGGGTGCAGATGAGGGTAATCAGGTGGCTGAAGTGGTGCCAACTCACCACAGTGGTCACACGAAGTGATGGGGCTGGGGAATGGAGGTCGCAAGTGCACAAAACCAAGCGAATGAAATCCTTCGAAGGATACCATAAGACGTTTGTGCTACGAACCACAGAGCAGGCTCTACGACGACGCACGTTTTCACCTCGCCTATCTGACCGACGAGGAAACGCAACCTCAGAAGGTGGTGATGAAGCATACGATCAGGCCATGGAGATTGATGAGGCTAGACAGATTTGGCAGCCGCTTCGACGCCTACCACCACCTCGGGCAGAAGAGTCCAACCCTCATAAGACGGAAAATGAGATCGAGAAGAGTTCTGAGTGGGAGAAAGAGTACGATGAGGCGATGTGCAAATAAAAGCAAAAGCTCCACTTAGCACTACATCAAGGTCAAGGGAATGAAACAATCCCAACCTGTGGGGCGCACACAGGCACCGCATTCCAGGTGTGCATAGGTAATCGACACTAAAGACCTCTGGATTTGAAGGTTCCTGGTTATCCAGTTGGGGTCTCCTAGACCTCTGATACACTGATCCACGATGCCAGTTCCCCTTTGTCGTCCTAACTGCCCATCATCGAAGTCGACCTCGCATCTCCTGATAATCAAGCGAAACTGATTCTCTGCTTAGTAGAACAGTTGGATAGACCCATTTTCAGACTGACACCTTCGTCCGATCATTCCCCTGTTTTCAAAAAAAAGATCTTTCGGAACGGCAAAAGGGGTGGTGGCGTCTTCATCTCACTGGGGACGTCTTTTTCGGCAAATCGAATGGCCTTAACCGATAGCGATTTACTCTTGACCGACTGTCACGTATCACAAGGGTATTCACACAGCCGTGCTTAGTTAACCGCATTAAATTATCGTCGATGGCCCCTAGAATCTTTCCACAATACAAAACTCTTGCACTTTAGAGCCTAGAAAGAAAAGACATTTGGCGATAAACTCGGAGAATGTCGATTCCCAAAGGCACAAATTATTTGCAAGCAAGGGATATGCGTGGTGGCGTGGCAGCCGAACGCGCAAACAGCTTTGCTGGAGGAAGGCACTTTGGAGGCAACCCTTCAAGGTATTAAATCCTACGACACGTCAGGGAAATACTAAACAACCCCGTCTCCCAAAAAAACTCACTTATACCACTTTGGTTTATTTTTCAAATCATGCAAACAAGTAGGAGTTATAACCTCGTCGCAAGCTTATCATTATGCTACTTCCTGCCGACAAAACACCATGCCTACTTATGAAGTGTGAGTAGTCTTTGCTCATAGGTGCAGATGGGGCATACTGTCCCAGAACGCCACTTAAACGGGTTTGGAGAAGATCCAATTAATTTTATCCCATTTAAAAAGAAGAGTTGTGCGCCTTACATCCCCCACCCCCTTAGATAAGAACCCCTTGCAGATGGTGGAATCAGAGACAAACCAAAGTGCCAAAGAGAGGGCGATCGACGACCACCAGCTTGCCTTTCAGTCGAAGGCAGGTTAAACAATCACAGTGCTTAATGATTGATTTAATAACTTATTTTATAATTTTTCGGTGAGTAAAAAGCAACAATTTTGAAGCGGTGTGTAGAGCTCCCATACACACAGCCCGGCAACAACCACAATCACAAACAATTAGCATAGTGGTGTAAATAATGACGATGATAACGTGGGGGATGACCTTGGAGCCGGTGATGTTGAGAAGGAGATAGGGAGAAGGTGGAACAAGAGGGGACCAAGAATGTACACGAGGAATGCGGCAGCGACGGCAGAGTTAGCAGCCAAACAGCGAAGGGCAGCTAATTTCGCCGTCTATTGCGTCGCCGTTTAAGTTGGCCCCGTTGAGGGAGCTCCTCCGGCTCCACATCCACCTCCACTACAGCAGCTGATGTGGCGGATGACAACGCCGGCTCCAAAAAGTACCTTGCGTTAGTTACTGCATCCTGGAGGAGGCAAAAAACATGGAACTCACAACTTATCGAGGAGGGGAAAGGGTCATTCATCAACTGGATTGACGAAAGGTCATGTTGCTTGGGAATCTAGTTGTACCACCTCCGCTGCGAGAATTGCAAAAGAAAATCAAATCGACAGGATTGCCATGAGACCTTCAGGTCAATCACTCTGTTTGTGGCACGAATCAGTGCTAGTATTTGTCATAACCGTGCAAAGAACACGTGTCACATATACGTGACGCCAACAGCGAACGTAATAATCTCGAAATGACCTTGCATTCAAAATAGTGTCTAGATAGAGGAACATGAAAGATGTGCTTGCTTTCAAGAAGAACAAGGAGTCAGTTTGAGTTGCTATTGAGGGAGGAGATATTTAAAACCCATTTCAGCAGACTGAATGAGAAGGAAAAAACTGCAAGGGGGATTACTTTTTGGAGAACCGTCCAGTAAAAATCAAAATACGCAGACGTGGTGGCCCATAGTAAAATGACGCCGTTTATCCGCCAAACCCATAAAAAAGGGTTCTTGGTAAACTTTCGAGAAGTTCTCATTCTCGGGGCTGCCTTCACCAACATTCCAGAAACGGTTTCCACCTCCCCCTGCTCAGCCTCTCACGATTGGCTACGCCTTAAACTCAAGGTCAACAAGTTACTACTAGTTGCACGTGGCTAAGATGACTCAGTGGCTCCAAATCAAACTCGAACCAATATTCGACAGTCTCCACCAGCTCTCTGCCAGACTCGTCCGCGTTCGTCCAGCCTACATCAGTCAGGAAAGGCGTCTGCCCTAAAGGGTGGAGGGGGAGGGGGAGGAGCGGGACGGTTCGATAGGACTCACACCAGAGGCATGTAGAAATCTCAATCCATAACCAATACCAGTTCAGTTTGTAATACGAAGTGGAACGAGCAATCGATCCACTGCTCCAATCAACCAGATTTGGACTGGAAATGGCATGTCATGTCCTCTCAAAGGTAGGTCAAGAATATTGTCACCTCTTTTCAGCGCAAAAAAACCCTCAAATTCGCGGACTGCAAACAGGTTACATTTTAACGTCGAAGGGACAAACTGCCAGTTTGGATAATCACTGTGAGAAGGATCTACCAAGGGCAACTACCAGTGCATCCCGTAGGAGATGCAATTGCTCCTGGAGTTGGTGAGAATGGGGAGGGGGGAACACCGCCCCAATAGTCCAGACGGCTACTCTGTGTGGATGAAGAACTTAGGTGGACGAACTGCTGCCGACGCTGTAATAGTTTTCGGATTTCGGCCAAGGAAACCGACTTCCGGCTATTCATGAGACTGTCCGAGGACGGTCGAGACTGATGTCAACAGAAGGACAGTGACCTCGGAGGCAGCGAGTCAACGCCAGTCAAGGCAAGGCGACAGAACAAAAGAATGCAGGTGCGCATCGAATCGCAGCCAAGACGGTGCACAAACTGCGGCAGCGTAGTGTATCCCGTCTCCAAGGGCGAATTTGACAACGCGGGGGTCAGCAAAACAAACTTCCACTTATTCACCAGACCATTGGATAACAGACGAGAGGCAGTGAGTCAAGACGGTGGAACAAAGAAGTCTAGAGCATCCAACTTTAAATCGTGAAGTAGAGTTTGCCACAGTAAAAGAAAGAAAACATAAACGAAGCAAAAGAAAAGTGACGGACAACCGACCCCCTAAAAAGTCGTCCAACCAATCAAGCAGTTGGGCGGGCGTCAATTTCAGTGGCAAAAGTTAGTTGGACTTGACAAGGTTAAGGGAGAAGCAGCGAAGTGGCCATAAGAGAGCGCATCCCATCGAACTCGATGGTTAGGAAGCAAAGGAGCGACAAATAGAACCAAAAAAAGCGAAAGGGGAAAAAAGAGAAACATAATTACAAATTGAAATGAAACACCTACCTGAGGGATAAAATTTCCTACAAAGTGGAGAAACAACGCCATTTAGAGAGATTGTTTCGGACTAGAGACGTTTCTACCGAGGGAATAGATGGAGCTAAAACTTATCTCAACGCATAAATCCCTCATCACCCTCGGAATGGAAAACTGATTATAGTGATCAAAGAGCAAAAACCGACAACTCACGAGAGCATTGAGCGCCTCCTCTACGCCTTCGTCAACATCTTCGATGAATTTTGAGGCGATGAAGGGTTGCTGGTGCTCGTCTTCGACGCGCGGCGGCTCATGAGGCGAGGCGACACGTCCCAGTGGTACTGTTACTCCCCGCGGGTTGGCTACAACAACACCTTCCGCCTTCGCCTGATTGGCTGGAGTTGACGCCGCGCACGAATAGCTCCGCGCCACCACCACCGGCGCCGGCAGTGCTGTCATCTCTGCTGTCGGTGTTGTCACTTAAGGGTTAAAAACGTTGTTCCTTATGGTTGAAAGGAGGCTGCTTGAAGGGAATGGAAAAGTAAGCAAGCCTCACCGGAACTGCGATCAAGGAAGGAGGCCACCTTGTCCCCGGCAGAACAAGGAATAGAGGGGAGGTCAACTGCCTCCGACCTCACACGAAAGTGCCAATCAAGACTGCGATAGCGACGTAGTCGGACGCCGCCACCACCACCAACACCATCATATCTACTTCGAAGGAGGGAGGAGTCCTCGGTGATGTTGGAGGCGGAGAAAGTGGAGTGCATCAGGAGGCTTGAAAGTGAGCGAGAGAGCTGCTCGTGAGAAGTCTAAAAACGTGAGGAGGTAAATAGGGCGTCTACGATGAGGTAACAAGTAGGCGATCTTCAGTGGGGATAACGCACCCTAGAATGCAGAGAATGCGTCCGGGGAGGAGCATCCCCATCTTTGGATACTTCCTCCTCCTCCTCCTCCTCCTCTTCTTCTTCGACCGCTATCACGGAGTCGTAGTAGACGCTGGAATAGGTGCCTCCACCACCGTTACCACCATTAAGAGAGCTACCAGTGGGACTGCTAGGTCCGGCCGAGGGAACGGTGGGTAGAGGTGTAACCTCCATGACAACGGAACGCCAAGTAGTCTGTGGTGGCGGGGCTGTCCATGTCCACCGTTTTGATGCGGTGGTGATGGCGGCCACTTCGTCGTAGATAGGTTCGGGAGAAGGTGGGCGCAGGATCTCGGAGAGTCGACGCGAGGGCACTGCCGACAGTGAGGAGGGGCGATCTGCGAAGGAGGGGAGGAAATCACGACTCAGCCAATGGAAATCCAGACCTTCTACAATACAATACTACGGGACCAAGCATGTTCCAAACCAACGAGAGCTTGAAGGATAGGCTTCACTCTTGAAAAATCTTATTCCTCTTAAATTCTCTTTGGGAGAATGCCATTGAGTACGAGATCTGACCTCTGAAATTAACTGATCGGGGGAGTTCTGAAAGGCGTAGACCTCAGGAATGAGCCCCTGAGAGATATATCCGAGTATCTCCAATATGCCCACCTCGTTCAAGTCACCGTCAAAGCACTGGCAGAATCGAGGAGCGATCCAGCCGCCCATCTGACGCCAGCGCTTTGCTGGACTCAAGGTTGCTAAGAATCTGAACATCCTAGGCGGATCCAACAGTCGCATTCAGCTCTCCTACAAAATTCGTCAATCCTTCTTCCTTCGCTCTCGCCAATCAGTCCCGCAGCTACCTTTTCTTCCACTTTATTCATTCCCCATGATTGCAACCTCTGTTGGATAGATGTCCCGAGGGTCCCGCTATCCGTCGTAACAGTTCAGTCAGTTGCGAACCTTTCTAGCCGCCCAATCGAGTTAGTTTGAGATTGACTTGCCATTGACAAAAGTGACAAATACTGTGAGGGCGAAACACACACCGAAGCACCCTCAGATGATGGTCGGTTCTGGCGCGAGGAGAATCTCGGCCAAAGTGAAGTTGAAACATGTCGCACGCGCACACGGGCACACACACACACACAAGCACATAGAAAAATAGAGGGACAACCACTCGGTCCTCTAAAATTAGCATTCGCAAGTATTTTCTTCTAATGCAAAGGTCACACTCCTTCCATTCCTTCATCTTCTTTTATGTGTGTTGGCGTGCGGCTTCTTGAAAGTTGCCACCACCCGCAATTTGTGTGTTCCCTTCCCTCCTCTCCACACTCTATCGCCGATCCAGTCTTTGTAATTCCATAGTGGAGGTACACATCACATCCCACTGGGTCAGTCTATTTCAATGCCTTTTCACTGACTTTTGTCGAGCCATGGCAACTCGAGACTTTCTATCAAGCTCTTTTTACCTGTTCACCGATCAGGCCAACAGTGGGTCCTCATTGCCCAACCAACCACACTTTGTAGATTCCAAGTTCAAGGGTAGAGGTGTAGCTTGCTGATGCCGACTCAGAGGAGTAAGCAGGAGGTGGGACTCTAGTGTCGTTCTTCAAAAGGCACGCCAGTTCGTGGGAATAATGCAACTGATCACTGAACCAGTCCTGCCGTTCGTCCAAGAGTTCAAGGAAGGTCACATACACACACATCCGTTCCACTTTAGCGGAACGATCTATCTCAGAGTAAACCAAGGACTTCTAGTTGTGGGGAAGTAGGGAAAAAAAACGAGTCCGTAGATTGGGGGGTTGAAGAATCAGAAAGAGGTAATCCGTTTTGTTTGTCTTCTTTGTCCCCATAACCCCCACCCCTCGCCTCGCCGCCACCGCCGCAACCGCAACAATAGCTTTTATGTTGGTCCCACCGATTCTTGGCATTTGTTGCGTGGGTAAACATTTATTATTCACGGAGCAGATGTCAAAGCGACAGAGGGGAGATGCTGATAAAGTCTCACCCACGCACCCTCACTTCCATAAGGGACAATTCCGCGTTTTGTGTGGGTTGTTAGCCATTAAAAAAAAACAGAGATTTCGTACCCCATATACGAGTTCCCTTTCGGCCTCGAGCGATTAGCGGAGGAGGGAGTGTTTACACCTTCTAGGAGTCGGTTAGTTCAATCGAGACGTCATGGTAACTTGCTTTCAGGGTAATAAAACATCTCATCATGGTCGATTTGGAACCCACATGTGGAAGAGTGACTTGCAAGTGGGATCGGAGGTTCTGTCACCCGAAAATGCTTGACCACACTGCCACATTGGCAGAAGCGGGCTCAAATAACCGCATAACTTTCAGGTCTCACCTTCTCTATTCCATTAAGGCCCACTGTAAATAGACTACTTGCGACGATATCAGGAGGCAGATTCAAACTCCGCACGTAAAGGAAATGCTGAACATCATCCGCGATTGGAGTCGCGAGGTACGGAAGAATCTCCCCCATCCAAGTGACGAACTGTTGGAACATGTTGAGTTGGATGAATTAGTCTTTAGCTGGGGAGGAGAGTCCACCACATCGGGCCACTTGGGCCGTTCAAGTGCGCTCTTGAGCTTGCGTGCAATGAAAACGATGTCCAGGCTTGGATCACAATCCCAACCTGTGTGGATCGCCCGGAAAAAAATTAATCAGCCTTCCAAATACCTGCACCACGAATCTATCTAACTTCCTCTATGGCTACTCCTGCCGGTTCCACCTTCAATTAACTGTCGACGGTTTCTTTTTTCCAACTCATCACTCAGCTTCGGTGCTTTTATCTCCCATGAGACCCCACCAACAAATGCACACGCGCACGCACTCTTACTCGCTCCTTCAAATCCGTCTAGTTCTCTGGAAAAAGATGTTGGCGACTTTAGGGCATCAGTACTCAACCGTGACCCACGTTGAAGTGGCTCCAAGTGCTGCGCATTTTGAATGGTGGGGAGTCTATCCTCCGATCTCCTCTAGTACAAATAACTGAAATTCATAATTCGTCCATCTAACAGTCGCATGGGAGCCCCCCGCCCTGGTGAAGAAATAGGGGCGAATTCCGTGCATGACAATAACTTCCACACATATAAAGTTCCACACATTTGATTCTGGCTCAGTCACATGGAGAATTCAAGGGGTCCATCCTTCACAAAGCGCAGTGCTTATTGGTTCTGAATTAGTCCCACGGCGAATAGCATCAGGCAAAACAAACCACCCTCCTGCGGCTCGGCAGACCCCGCCTTACCTCTTTTATATACGTTTTTGATCTAGACAACATATTCAAGCTATCTGATCTTCCCACAGCCTTCGAGATAGTATTCTTCCCATACAATGCGCCTTTACTCCCATTCGATGAGGATGGCATTGGATAAAACCACCTAACCTATCGATACGCCTCCAGCATCCATTCGTTCATCTTCCTTCATATCACAATATCCACCGTCAAAACCGTCTTTCTGCAGGTACTACTTGACTGCGAGCTGGCAGTATAGTCATCAGTAGGTTCCACAAGGCCCAGCCACCTCCTCTCTTGCGAAGGCTTCCAAGTGTATCCACTCGGTTCTGGATTGAATGCGGATGCCAGCTGGCCCGTAATTTTCTTCTCCTTCTCTCTCCTACAGCAGATAAGATGCCTGATGCTCCAAGTTTGCAAGATGGTGAAACTACGTCTCATCTCGGTTCGTCAGACCGGCTCCAGTGGCTTTGGTAGAGACGGTGGCACAGGCAAGACTTCAATCTAGCATCAGATGCTGCTGAATTTTCGCACGAGGCAAGAGACCAGTACCTGCTAGTTGTTTCATGACTCACCACATACAAAACATCATTAGTTTTTTTTGAAACGGACGTTTTGGACAGCTTAATGCGATTTGTAGTAATGAAGAGAGAGAGAGCGAGCTGTCGTAGTGGGCCGAATTCGGACGATATCCTCCGATGGCTCGAAGGTGAAAGAAGCTAGACTTTAAGACCTTGGGTTGGTGAATAAACACCTCCAAGAGGATTCGACGAAGCCTGAGTAGATGAGTCTATGCAACGCGACAGCGAATCAATTCAACTCGAATCCTTCACTAAACAGAGGCAAGAAATTCTGCAACAATCTAATCATTCTTTACATCAAACTTACCGCCATTCATTGATGGGGTAGTAGCGCCAGCCACACTAGAGGCATTCGAAACGGGATTGGACGGAGTAATGTGCCCTAGAGCCTCAATGATAGCTCGGATCCACCGACCCATCACTACAGTGTCGCCAGCATCAAGGAGCAGCAGCAGGGGCGTAAGAGATGGTGCGGACAGACGGACAGCAGAGGGGTGGCGTTTATCCGCGGCTGGGGCAACTTCCACTACGCCCGGCTGCAATGGCAGACTGAGGAGGAGGGGAGGAAGAGAAGGACGAGGCGATGAATTGCTGTTGCCACATTCCACGCCCAATGTAGAGGCGTAAATCTCCAAAATAGAGGCATGCAACACGCAATACCGACGTGTCCACGAGAGGCGACCAGGAATGGAGATAAAGATGTCGCCTAGAGGAATACAAATACGACTGTTCAAATGGTAGTTGAATCGGAATATTCCACAAATAGGCTTTTGCTAAGACGGAAGTGAGAGAGTCGTCTGTTGGCTGAAAAATATCCTTGAGGTTGAAGAACCAGCACATAGCTCCAGCACTTAGGGTCGAAGAAAAATCATCCGAGAGGAAGGAGTACTTAGGGATTGAAATTGGCATCACGTGATTTAAGTTTTGGAATGACGGGTTATTGCAACTCTTGCTATTCCAGAAATCTACTAGGCGTGTTCTGGTTTGAGGTTCTAGAAATAGGTATTAAATTCAGTTCATAATGAGATTGGTTTTCACCCCGACAAGGCAATAAGACAAGGGGATGAACATTGTAGTGGACTAATAGATCTCTTTGCCTTAGAGTCGCTGAAAAAGACATGAACACATGGCAGACGTAAAACCTCTTGTGTAATCCAAACACGGGGCAGCAGGCACAACTTTTTTCCACCTGCGAAGCTACTTTATTCCTACCGTTACACCAACCGTCTAAGGAGAGCGAGGGGATCAAAAAGCCTGACTGCCAAGAATTTCTCCTGTGTGTGTGACTTGGTGTTGGACGGGAATGCCTCTCCGTAAAAGGCATGGATTGGCAACCCCACTTGCCCTTTAAGTAGGCACGTCTGATAGCTCTTCCACAGTCGTGATGGGTCTAGGGAAAGAACCCTCGAGAGTCACCGAAGGTAAATACCACCAACCAGCCAGTGACATCTCCCGGAAGGTCTCATGAAATAAATCTCAAGTGTGAGACCACCAAGGATTCGTGAAAAGGTTCCGGTTCTGGCCCCTCAACTCGCTTTCCACATGTTTGGGTACGGTGAAGAGGCTGCGTGGAATTAATTGCCAAAAGACGATCAAGTCTCGAGTTTCTCCGCACCACTGGAGATGCTGCGGAGATTTTAATTGTATATACATGTGGCAAAAGCTACATTTTATCATCAATGGCCATCACCATCAAGTGGAGAACATGCTCACCTTTAATGATAACCAGCCACATGCCAGAAGGGGACACTTATGAGCTTTTACTTATTTATTTCCCTCCCTCAGCTCCCCAAACGCTCACCGTACCTAACGCCTAGCTGGTATAAGCAGATCCAACACCCACGTATTCCAGCTTGCCTGCAATATCCTCAAGACAGCTATCTCTCCGCTGTCATGAGTCCGTTTTGGGGCTGATTGGAGGTCAAAAACGTTCGGCATTCCCCCCATCAATGTCAAAGAAGACTAATTTGCGCGCCCAGCTCACACACACAAACACATGATGAAACACTGCTTTCTATCCTGTGGGTGGAATTCTCGCAGTCACCTTCAACATAGCAAGAAACAACGAATTCGCTAAAGTACAAGCACAGCCAGTGTCGTCACATGACACAGGCAAATACGCATAAGTACAACGCCTTCTTCGGTCGCCTCCTCTTCCTCCTCCTCCTCCCCATTTCTCACTCCTTCCCCAATGGATATAATTACGTGCGACACCTCGAAGATCAATCCACCCAACAGCCACCCAGGCCGTTCCCCCCTAAGAGATGGTGAATTGACGAGCAAGCTAGCTAGCGAGCGGGCAGACGGACGGACGAACAAACGATTTGCATACATGTGTGCACCAGCGAGAAGGGTTGACAGCCAAAAAAATATAATCACGTAATTCGATGTGAATGCCTGCCTACCTGCCTCTCTCTGTGCTCGTGCATGCGTATGCCAATGTTTGCTTACTACGGAACGCATACACACACACACACACACACACACACACACACACACACACACACACACACACACACACACACACACACGAAATGGCGAGGGCTAAGAGTACGCCAAGTAAAGGGTTGAAAAAGTGGGCCAAATCGCGAGAAAAGGGGCATCTTAGGTTGATTAAACTACCAAGCAAGTGTTTGCCTATGCATTTCCCCTCTCCGCTTCCCATCTGAAGGCCTCTTTATTCTCCGATGGCTACCTATGGCGAAAGTGCAAAATCCCCAGCCCCACAGTCTACCGCCGACACGATGGCGAAACAAAGGCGTTGTTGGACCAACGCGCAGTCAAGCAAAGCGTCCAGGTTATCAAACCTGTCCTTTTCTGACTATCGCCAGCATAATGTGTCTTGCAATGACTGTCGACAGCACCGAAGGTCAAACCTTCTGAATGAAATTATTTAAAACCGGCAAACAAGAAGTTCCTAGGTAGTCTTAGCCCCCTATAAGACGATCTCAACCTATCAAGGAAACGATTATGCATAAAAACGCCAGGATAGCCTAGTCATGACGTCCAACCGCTTGTGTGTAGGCCGCTCCGTTGTTTGCGTGCGCGTCGGTGCCACCTAGGAAGGGTGCACTGCGAACGTGCTCGGAGAGCTAACCTAAACAGAAAATTGGCACTTTTTTCAATCCGTGGTAACCCTGTTTTACAGCCAACACTCAGAAGGAATCACCCAGGCGCCTACTCAGCACACACACACATACATTCTAGCACGGCGTAGGTGGCTCCAACACTCGCATCCAGTTTTTGTGGTTGTGCGTGGAGGTTGCACACTCCTTTGCTAACTTCTCGTAGTCAAGAATGGAGACCAGAGCGCTAAACGGCAATGGTTACATCGAGTTTACACTAGTTTTTGAACTCTTTTTTTTTTAAATATACGAAGAGATGAATTTGCCCGATAAGACGTCTCTTCTGTCCGGGAGGGTAATTTTGAACTCCAGGCACGCACGCACAACTCTTGCCCACAGTACCTAAAGCAGGAGATAAAACACCGTTTCTCTTACATACAACAAAAAGCCCTCTCTTAGGGGGGGGCGGCGAGGGTCCATTTTTGTTAGTACCTACTTGTGGATGAAGTCACTTAACTACACCCCCACCCCCTGACCTTTGCCGTCTTCAACGAGGGCGGTAAAAAGGACTACCGCCTCCCTCTTCTTCCCAGAAAAACGTGCTCCAGGACCCACTTCGGACAAGACACATGACTAGTACCAAATGTAAGTGGGGAGAAAAAGGGAAAAAAAGAGGCAAAAGCCAACTTTAGGATCATTTTTTAATGAACCTGCAGAGGTGATAATGGCCTGATACCGCCTCAAGCCTCGAAGGAAATCCGAATTACTCCACACACCGTACTAGGGCACCATACCTCCGTGCTTTACAAATTCCACATGAAATATTAATGCGCCGACGTTCTCCTTAAAAAACTACATTTAACTCAAATATTTACCTTAAGTGGATGAAACATTAGAGAATTCAATGAGAGAAGGAAGGAGAGCCGTTTGCACCATCAACGCAGCATAAAGCTGCCGTAAATGAAGAGGAGGAAGCAGAATGTTTCCCCTTTTCGGAAGGACGGCCTTTTCCTTGACTAAGGGGAAATAATTTCAAACTCCTCTTTTCTGTGTTTCATTTGCATCTCTTTTTCCTTTCAAAATGTCTCCCTCTCCCCCGCTACTTGTCGTTCGGTGAGTCACATGTTTGCCTTCCGTCATTCAACGCAGCCGTGTCACCGCCTTTTTGCGATCTAGAAGGAATGCGCATTTTACGCGCCACCTGCTTCTGAAGGGCTCAGACCGTAGCACAGCGGCTGATCAAAATATTTCAACTGCGATGACCAGATTACTTGAATCACCTCCGTATTGGTTGGAGGAACCATTACTGATGCTCCCTAATGGCTACGGGGTGATCCTTCCTGTGCCCGCCTAACCTAACCCCTCTATTTCTCACCTGCTGACGCTGATTGGAACCCTTTTGACGATGTCAACCCACAGACCCCCTATTCCACTAGCCTTACAGCTTCTCTATACGCTAACAACGTCTTCATAGACTAACTCGGACGCTACATCGGTCACCGCCCAGTAGCCCAGCTCTGACACACTATCGCCTGAGAACCATTTGACGACTTCAACTGGAACAATAGGGAAGGCTTTTGTCCAAACAGATCGGCTAGTCACGACACGAAGAACACTAGAGAAGAAAGACATCTGCTGTGGATAGCTGAAACTGTGGGGACGCAAATCAAATCGCATCGGCTCTTGGTAGCCATTTGATCTCCCATTCCGCCTCAACACCGGTAATGACGCGAAATGTACATTGGAACAGTGGATGTGTGGAAATGTAGAACCCCTTATAGCCTTAAGTAGTACCTGGCCAATGAACTAGTATAATAAAGGTCACCAAAAGAGCACGTGGTCGGGAGGGGAAGGAGGAGTCCAAATTTATGCGGTGCACAGCGACATTCGCCGAACATGGAAGTCGGGCTGGGGTGATTGAGGATCAGAGCATGCCCTTTATCCTTTTAATTTTCCTAAATGTCATGGGAATAATATACTCAGATGCGCGGAATGTGATGGCCTAAAAATATGCGCCATTAAATCACACGTATATGTTAGCGTACCCATCCAACCCTCTCTTCACATGCACGCACATGCACATGTGACGCATTTAATTTACACGGGTGAATAAGATTAAAAAGAATAAAGGAAAAAAAAACAAGAAAAACCAAGTTGAGGGATGGTTAGCGCCATTTTGGGACAAATAAAACATCCGCTTAGCTATGGTAGTAGTGATGGTGGTCGATTTGCCTCTACCGCAGAGCCTGACTGGTATGTACGTGCTATGACAGGAATTATGGCGTGGGCGCTGTTCGACCCTGAACTGACGCACAGTTGGTGTCTCTGTCGTTCAAGCCAAAACATTGTCTTAAGAGTGCATCGCATCGAGAAAAACCTAAACCTGAAAACTGCGCCGTTCTCCCAAACGGGAAGGATAAAAGCAGTTAAAAACACAATGGATTACAAAGTGGTCCAGTTGCTGTCGTGGCCAATTCCGAGTCCAGAATGAATGTTCGTGGAACGGGCTGAATAGGAAATGGGTGTTAAGTAGCGTAGTGGAGCAGGTCTGATGCCTTCTACTTCCCCTCATGATACGCCCGCTACTGGGCCCGGCCCTAAGGCATTCGAGCACTTCCGCTACCAAGCTGGTCACTTCAACTACGGCTATCCGAAAGCGAAAAAACTTAAGGCAGTTGTCCTCAAAGCATGGAAAAAGTTGCCCTATTGTTCCAAACTCAACCAATCCACTTGCGACACACGAATTTGGAACGGACATCTACCGCAAAAATATAGGAAACATATTTCGCGCATAAGAGACATGCAGACCTGGTTAAAAAAAATCGGGATATCGAGTATGACCCTGGTGGTGTGTGGCAGTGATATCCCAAAGAGTTAGGAAATGAGTAATCGACCAACAAAAATAGCCCAACGCGGAACAGACGTCAGCAAAGTGACTTCACTCACCCGCCAGCACCGATTCATCCAAGCTCGTATTCGCTGACGAAGACGATGTTGATGACGATGACTTCATCGCCTGATGCTGTATTGCCATCTTTCCCGTCAAACCCCGAACACTGTGCCAGGCTCGCGTCCTCGGTGAAGTCATGGAACCAACCCAACCACCAGGCCCATCACTTCCAACCACCGCTTCAAGCTGCGTCCATCCAAACCTTCTTGTCGTCAGCGTCGGAGGCGACGAAGATTCAGCCATTTCCAGACCATCCGATGGCCGAGGAGGCAGGATAAGTGATCGTCGTTTCGGGAGATTCAACGAGTCGACTACCTTCTTGCGAACCGAGGAGAACAACCCTGAAGCTCGGGATTGAAAAAGATCGTAGGTCGAGACAGATGTGGAGGTGATGGAGAATATGCTTTGGCGATGATAAGGAGAGGGATTGACAACACTGGTAGCCACTAGCGAGGAATTCCTCTGATCAGAGGCCTCTCCATTAGTTCCATCGGTGGCGGAGCTGCTCGAGGAAATCAAACCCGAAAATCCGCTGTCCTCCTGTCCAGATAAAGGGGGGGGGGGGGGAGGTAAGCGCCCACTAAAATTGTTCAAGAGAAATTGGTTTTCTTAATCAAGATACCTACCTGATTGGCATCAAAAGCGTTAGGTGGAGGCAGTGGAGGTGGTGGCGGTTGCTGTCGTTGTGGCAGCGTCATCTCTACCCCACCAAGAAAAGTTGGTGATGCCTGGATGGGAGGTAGAAAGAGACTGTGGGGACGGGACTCCACGCCAGCCATGCTTTTTCGTCGTGACGCCGCTGACATCGTGGAAGCAGTTCGTGCGAAGTCGGTGAGGGAGAGCGCATCCACCACATCACTGGAACGACGACGGTGCTGACGGTGGGCCTGACGACAGTAGTGGCCGATGAACGACTCAGCGCGACTTGGTGTGATGCCTTGTGCGTACTGGTTTATTTGCTAAAACGGAGAAAAAGAGAAGATCGACGACGTTGACCTCTATCGCAGAAGCTATTAAAAGCTGATGATTCTACGAGGAAGCCTCTATGGGGATATAACACAAAGTGGATTTATAATCTTTTTTCTCGACACGGTTAAACCGTTTCGCCTTCCGAACGATCACAGACACGCAGGGTAAAATTTGCCTACTGGCCAAAATCAACCGTCCACGGATCCGACCTAGAGCCGCGCATATCTCCACAAAGAAAGTTTTTTACTCATCATCGCCGGTGGTGGGCTTAGGTATGTGTGTGCAAATAACTACTCCCTTTTCCGGACAGGGCTGAACACTTTTACTTGGTCGAACAACGAAATAGGGTACTCTGCATCTCTCTCTGGAGCCATTACAAGCAATCGAAGGGACCGAGAAATCGGATCTAGAATCGCCATTTTTTGGCGCCCCTATCAACCTTCCTTCCTATTTCGACTCAGATCTTCACGAAGAAATGAAAGGTTTACTTCATCAAGACCTATGCCAGCCACAATCGAGAAACATGACTTGAGTTTCAAAGGCAAGGACAAGAAACATGCTTCAAAAACTTCATCTACTGTCCAGATCAAACGACGGTCAGAAATTAGTTAGCTACATTTTTTATTCGCCAAAATTCCCAAGTTTCTCCAGCCCGAATCCCCAACCACGTAACTGAGATCTTCCAGGAAACTACGATATAGCAAGAAGGGGAAATGAAAGAGGATCAAGTGCTGATCAGAAACGGAAATGAAATGGTCCTTTCCTCATCCGAATCATGACTTTCCAGGTTACCGACCCCCCAAACGATAGACCTGGACCCTCTAGAAAATTAGTAACAGTAAAGGAACGAAGAAAGAGGAGACTAACGGCGATCCAAGCCAGGGCCTCCACTTCACAGTCTGCAGCGAACACGAGAGCCCGACCTCCGCCGCCATGAACTGTCGCAGCAGCGGCGACAGTACCGGTGCCAGGAGCAGTACTGACGCCGGCAGTATGCGTGACCTTGAAGACGTGTTGCATGCCCGACTCGCGACCCGCATACACCGCCATGGTGGAGGCAGCGGCTACAAAGAGGCTTACAGCCGGCGAGGTGAGCGCGGCATGGGGAGAGCGGAAACCGAGGAGGTGCGCGTCCGGCGTCAAGAGGCAGTGCCCGAGGCGACACCATTTGCGCGGCTTGTAGCGGTAGTATAGCGCACCGTTCAGTGTGCAAGACGGGGCAGCGCGGCGAGAGGAGACTTCGGACCTCTTGGGCAGCCTGTGGGTAAGTAGACAAAAGAAAGCACTGACCAATCAATCAATCTACTGATCAGTGAATATCTGAAGGCAATCAAGGACCCCACAGACCTCGGCTCTGTGATAGCCGAGATCGAGCCCTCAAATGATGAAGCCTACACTCGGATAAACCCTGTGGGGTAAACAAATGGCCAAACACCACATCAATAGGTCCGCACGACTTGGTTATTTTTGTCTCCGTGGTGAACAGCGAACTACGTGAGGCCAAGACCGAGTGGATCGCAAGACATACAAGGCAGGCTAAATTAGAGCAGAACGGCTCGGTGCATTTCTGGTGCGTGAAGCACAATGAGGGAGATGAAAAAAATGGAAACTTTTGGATGGCCTGTAGGGGCTATCTAATTCAAGTGAAGATGAAAGTAGTCTATGATTGGAGCCTTGACAGTATTGCGAAGACCGACTTAACCCTCATTAAAGGCATTTGGTTGGCCCAATTTGAACAGGGAGACCGTCCTACCCGCCGATTCGCCTTCTCGTGCGAGCATCTGCCTAAAACCGGGTCCATTCACTAGGATGAATGACATTAAGGACCCCTCGTCGGCGTTTTGCCCTAGTTTCTATACTCCCTTTCCATTTTACGACTGTGCGATGTTTACCTGGGTTGCCCTCCGGTTCGCTCGTCGTAGGCAGACAAAAGGACACTTTGAACGCGTTTAGTCTCAATTTTGCAGAACTTGGCATCCGGTCAGTTAACAAAGGTTGCTGAGTTTACAATAACCCTTCTATGGTTAGCTGTGGCAGATATCTTTCTACTCCGGTTTTCGTGTAGCAACTAAACGACAAAAGCCTTCCTCGTGGTTGCGGAGGGGACCCCGACCACATCCTACCGCCATGCTGCCTGGCATGGCATATGGCACACCCAAGTCCCCAGACAGTTTTATGATGGGCATAGTGGAAAGGGCGGGTCTAAATCCCACCCCGTTGCCTGATGCACGATTAAAGCGAATATCACTGAGCTGGAGTATTCCACGCAGAACTTCAGCAACGCAATTTTCAATGCAGTTACTACCGCAACTAGGCTGTGGTGGTTGAAATATAAAGGAGTTTGGTAGAGTGGTTGACCACCGTCCGTCTCAGAGTGAGCCAGAGAAGCAATCAGCCGCATCTGGCGGTGTCAGGTTAAGCAGACACAAGAATTGCTACTAGAAGGCATTTAAATTAATGAACCTGGAGGGTAAGTCTCCCCCCAATTTTTTAATTTGCAATACACGGTAACATCCAACGATCGCAGTATCAATAAATTTTGTCCCTCGTCCATGAAATGAGCGCATTTGAAGCAGGTGATGCGTAAATTTTTTTGTCATTTTTGAGAGGAGTACCTTTTTGGCAAGCCCACTGCTTCAAGTGAGAGGAGACTCACTGGATGACAAAAGAGGGAGGGGAAGGGGATGTTATTAAAGCAAAAGAATTCGCCCCCGAAACAGAGTTACTTAAACCCTTCGGAAGGGGCTGGGGTGACCACAAGGATGAAGTCCAAAAATCCGTCCAACTATAGTTTATAGTTTTGGAATTCCGACCTGGAGAGAAAAGCGTTTCCAAAAGCATCTCTTGCGTATAGAACCATTGGAACGAAAGAGGTGGGGGTGGGGAATTGAATGTAAGAAATACTCGTACCATCTTCTAGCTGAAGGAGAATTCGCCGGAAAGATGGAAGCAGCTCTTCTCTCCCATTCACCATCGCTAAGACCTTCGCTTCCACTGATGACTTTCGGTGAATACGGGTTTTCACCTTTATTCAAGCCATTTTTGAGGAGAATCTGGTACTACGGTTTCAAGAAGTAAATAAAATGCGAAGGTGTGATGTAATTCCCTACTTTGTAAGAAGCTAACACTAAATAGTCTAGATCCTCGAAAGGAGAAAATCCGAACATCTCAAAAATTCTCGCCAAATCATGCGGTCGGTTGAAATGAGTCTCCAATTACAAAAAACCCCTCTTAGATGGAGTTCACAGTCTGATATAACAGAGGAAGAAGTAACAAGGACACTGTGGTGGTATTGAAAACGGCAATATTCTCGCCATCATGTCGATCCACCGTCTACCATGCGAATACGGTGCAGAAAGTGGGAAAGAATCCCGAGTTCTTGGAATGGGAGGCAACGGACTTTCGATCTCTACCAGGCAGACAAGGGCATGATAATGTTTCTTCGTACTTCCGGCCTTTCTCTATTATTGTGATGAAATGACTCACTCCGACTTGAAAACAGCTTAACAGGCCATTATAGACACATCGTGACCAAAAGGTAAATCACCTTCGTTGAAGCAAATCACACAAAACGCGTCTTTATTTAACAGCATCACTAACAAAGATCCTGATACATCTGCATTTCAAGGCTTTGCATCACTCTGCAAGATGACATCCTACCAAATCGGATTCGAAGCTTCATTGCATCTCTCTCGCTCTCCTTATCAGTGTAAATCACACCATCCAGTCTCGGATTACTCCATCTAAACTTGAAACACTCATCTGAGCTACAACCACTCACCCATCCGGTCCCATCTCCAATGTACTTCAATTCATCACCCGGACATAAAACTCCACTAATATCTTCCGCTTTAATCACCAGGATATCACATTTGCTTGATAATGACAAGGCATTCATCATTTGCGCTACTAGACAGAGACAATGATGAAGACGAAAGCGATTAGGGTGACAAGACTGATGGGCGCGAGTCAAGAAAGTGCATATGAACAGCCTCCTTTGAATATGAAAATCCCAAAAGATCTGACGCGAGTTTTAAACTCTGTTGCCTCCTCGGCACCACTGACACCGAGTCGGCTTGACGTGATGTGAATTAATAAACAAAAGAAAGAAGATAATCACAGTGCTATCACGATTCTTGGAAAAAAAGGTGTGGGAGTTGGCCAATAAGATGCATCAGTTCGGTTGGAGCCAATGCAATAGCATTTGAAGTTGGGAAGAGGAGAGAGGGAGAGAATCCGCCGATCCCAACAATGTGCGAGTCACTTCTATGGAAAGGTGATGCAGGTCGACGAATTAATCACTATGATTCCAGCCACTGGAAACTGCTGGCAAGGCAGGAGCGCGTTGCTACTTTTAACCGCAGAAGCTTGTGTACAAATTCTAGATCGAGTACTACGGAGTGGAGTTTGTCAAAACGCTTTCTTGTCACAGTGCGTGAAAGGATTTCGCACAAGAAAGATTTCTAGATATTCCAGTGATAAATTGGCTAGCCATGAGGTTCCCTAGGAGAACGCATCAGACAGCGCTCCTTCAACAGCGAATTAATTCATCTTTTACTACAGCACCAGAGTATCGTAAAAACCGGGAGATCTGCGACATCTCCTTTGATAACAATTGACATCTACAAAAATTGAATGAAGATCAGATCAATCCACTCACTCACCTCGGTTAAAAGGAGTGTATAGGGGAGAGGGGATTGCGTAGGTGAGGCCTTATCAGTACCTCCTCCTTCCTCCACACAGACGTCGGCTGTGCGAGCAACCATGAGTGGGTGAAAAGGCAGATGTTCACACACACACACACACACACACACACACACACACACACACACACACACACACACACACACACACACACACACACACACACACACACACACACACACACACACACACACACACAC